TAGAAGTTTATAGCCTTTAAATATGCAATGGGGTTTCAATTTTCTCTTTCTTTGCGTGGGCTACTTTCTTCCGCATTCTTTCTACAGGGGCTGTATTTTTTTTTTTTTTTTATTATTATTCTATTTGTCAATAGCACTATATTTTGACAATCGTGTTTTATTTTTTCCCAGCTTACTATGCCAAGGTTGCTGGCCTTCATTACTACGTGCGCAACACTGATAGGGGTTTTGAAGTTTTTTTTTCCCTTTTTTCTTTTTATATGGATTCTGTCTTAATAGTTTTTTGCTTGAGTTTGGTATCCATAGAACAAATTGGAGAGGTCTTTTCTTCTCTTCTCTTCTCTTTTTTAAAACAGAAGAGACCCATTTCAGTTTATCTCTATTTTTCTTGCTTTTGATTTCTGAATATTTTTTATCACCCTATCTTATTTTAAGCATCTATACAACTAGTTGGTATGGGAGATCCATTTTAAGCCAGACTGCTTTTGAATATATGTGATTATTGCTTTGCTCGATGGTGTACTGCATGGCCAGCTTCCTCTTAAGCTAACATATGCACTTGTTGATGATAGAACAAAGTCTGGTAAAATCCCACACTGTTAAAATAATAAAGAAGTATGCGAGTTAAAATCCCACGTTGGTAAAACAATAAAGGAGTATCTGAGTTAGAACAAATTCTTAAGCATATTTGGATCTAGGCCTTATGTTGAAGCCTACATGTCAATTTTCAATTGGATTAGACTGACAGTTTGAATAGAATCCTACATTACTCTTTTGCCTTCATACTGAAGGGTTATCATTTGGTGGTATTTACTCTGTTTATGTGCTGTATAAGTGCTTCCATGCATTGTTTGTTGTATTTGTAAGTAACCAGTTCTTCTTCAGGTGACAGTGTTTGGTTACAATCACAAACTACGGATCCTATTGGATACTATTGTTGATAAAATTGCAAAATTTGAAGTAAAACCTGACAGGTTTTCCGTAATCAAGGTAATGAATCTAGCTACTTCAGGTATTATAGATGTTACTGCATTTTACTTTTGCCCCTGAAAAGACTCTTTAACGTACAGCCAACTAATATCAGCCAATTAAATATTTTTACCTAGCTTCTGGAATGTATTTTATGTGTTGTGTTCAATTGTATCCTGACACTTTGTAAGCTTCATCATGTTAAAGCCTATTCAGCCTCTATGTAGTTTGCCCACCTAAAGAGGTGGCATTTCATCACTCCTATTGTTATACATAACTAAGTCCTCATAATGCAGCCTTTCGAACATGCTAATATATAACATCATTGCACTAGACTATGGAGGATATTTTTATTTAAGCTTCTTTTTCTTAGTCGTTGAGTTGCGTTCTCTAGTGTCCTCTGAATTTCTTCCCACTCCTGTCTTTTTTCCAGGAACGGGTAACACAAGACTATCAAAATCGAAAGTTTCAGCGACCTTATCAACAGGCTATGTACTATTGCTCATTATTATTGGAGGACCGCTCATGGGCTTGGATGGAAGAACTTGAAGTCCTGCCAAATATTAAAGCCGAAGACCTCGCCAAATTTGCTCTCATGATGCTCTCAAGGGCGTTCCTTGAATGTTACATGGCAGGTCTTTTTTATTCTTCTTCCCCATTTCACCCCAATAAAGTTGTTGGTTTAGTTTATGTTTGTTATATTCTAAATATTATTTTATTATCTCCTAGGTAATATTGAACGTGTTGTGGCAGAGTCAATGATAAAGCATGTTGAAGATATTTTCTTTAAGGGCTCAAACCCTATATGTCAACCATTATTTCCATCCCAGCATCCTACAAATAGAGTTTTAAAACTTATAAGAGGCATGAATTACTTCTACTCCAAGGAAGGACTAAATCCAAGTGACGATAATTCTGCCCTTCTCCACTATATTCAGGTAGATTACATTTGTTTTGGAATGTACAAAAAGATCTTCAATTTTGTGAGGTTATTTAGTCATCTATTCTGGAATGCCTTTATTTGTTTCGTACTTCTGATACAGTTCTTCTAGCGTTGTAGTAATCTATTTACTACTCGACCTGTAGAATCATACATTGTATGGCGTCCAAACATTTTCAGGATGTTGTGGTTTCATCTGATGGCTACTGAGACACTGTAGTGACTACTGTTTATTGACAAGTTTTCTCATTCAAATGGTTTGGTACTATCATGGGCTTCAGGCTACAATACTAAGTTATTAAAATGGTTTGCAAGGAAACTTAGTTATTAAATCAAAAGATCCTCAGTTACTATATCATATTGCTTAGGTTATCTTGTAATCTGTTCATTTGATAGCCAAATAGTGTGATTTTTATTTTTTCCGGCTAAGATTTGTCACTAATCTAATTCTTAGGAGGGTTCTGATGTGAGGTCATCTGTAAATGTCCAGGTTCATCAAGATGATTTCATGTTGAATGTAAAACTCGAGCTTTTTGATCTTATTGCCAAGCAACCAGCTTTCTATCAGCTTAGATCTGTTGAGCAACTTGGGTACTTTACCGCTCTCTTGCAGAGGTATTAAAAGTTTCCCATCCACGAATTTAGACATCATTATCTTATATCTTATTCAAGTTCATTTTTCTGTTCATTAGGAATGATTTTGGAATTCGTGGATTGCAATTTATTATCCAGTCCACTGTGAAGGTAAATGTTGTTGTTTTGTCCTCTCTGTGTTATTTGTCGTCTTGATGATTCATCCCTAAAACTTGGTTAATCTGCACAGGGCCCAGGGTATAGTGGTTTGAGAGTTCAGGCATTCCTCAAGATGTTTGAGATCCAACTTTACAAGATGACCCATGATGAATTTACGGTAAGAATGAAGTAGACATGAATAATTATTCTCTATTCATTTCGGTTTATTTGAACCTCCATGATAAGGTCCATAGTAGTGCACTGCTGGATGTTTTCTCAAATCAATAACCATTCAGACTAGGTGTGTCCACCTGCATGCTTTATTGCTTGTCCATGTGTGAAAATATGTTCTTGTGGACGACCCTTAATGGTAAACTCAGTGTTGAACTTGTGGTCATGCAGAGCAATGTAAATGCATTGATTGATATGAAGCTTGAGAAGCACAAGAATCTACAGGAAGAATCTTGGGTTTACTGGAGGGAAATTACCGATGGAACCCTTAAATTTGATCGGACAGAAGCTGAGGTATGTAACCTTTCTGATCTCATTTCACCTCTAAAAGAGTAAATGAACATCCGTTGGATTTGTTGCAGGACTTGTAAATGTAATAGAGAGGCATGAAAAGCTTCTTCATGGTCTTTCATTTCTCTCAATGAACACCATCTGCAAGGAACATAAATCATGAATAAGGTGAATACTAATCGTGTTCTAACAGGTTGCAGCACTAAGGTAACTTGCACAAGCAGAACTGATAGACTTCTTCAATGAGTATATAAAAGTCGGTGCACCACAGAAGAGGACCCTGAGCATTCATGTGGTTGGGAAGGGACATTGAGCAGAGTAAAAAGCCACGTAAAGTGAAGTGGTTCAACCAGCCAAAATTGATGACATATTTAGTTTCTTCAGAAAATCATTGCCACTTTATGGTTTATTCAGAGGAGGCGCTAGTCATGTAAAATTGTAGTTTCAAAGGAGAGAGCAGAATCAATATTGGAGCTTCAGCTCTTGAAATGGAGATACAAACTCAAACGAGCTTTGGTCAATGACAAAGCTCAATGTTCGATAGTTATCTGCACGGCACACAAGCCGTGCCAATGCCAATGAAATTGTAACTTTATATTAATTTTTTTCTAATTTATTTCTAGGACTGAAAATTAAACTAAAGTCATACATATTTGAAAGAAATTTGCTTCTGCTTTGAGAACTTCTATAAAATGAAAGCAGAAAAGTTTGCTAAGTGATGTAGAGGAAACAAATTGTGTATGGTTTGTAAAATGGTGGGGAAACTAGTTGCGATTCTTGTGCAAGTGCTGTTATCAAAGAGTGCATTTTTGTACTTTTTTGGTTTTTTAGTAAATAGCTTTTTAATTCTTGAAAAGGAGGATGAATAAAACATTTTACCTATCGCTCTTACCACGCATGAACAAATGTGTTTAACATGTAAATGTAAGGTAAACAGATGTGTTTAGGAAGTCAAGGGAAACAAAATAGACTCAAAAGATAAAGATGTGGCATATAAAATGACTAATTTAACCTTTGGACATCCAAAGGATAAAATGATAATTTACTTGTGATTTAAAGATGACAATTTCATGATGATGACAGAGCACCAGTTAAACATGGGAAAACAATAAGAAACATAAAATTTCAAAATAGAATAAGAAATTACATATTCAATAAAATTTGATCACTAAATTTACGCTTAACAAAAGAACTAGTAATTCAGCAACAAGTTTAACATATGCATGAAAATAAAGAAGTTTGTTTGAATACAATGAGAGGTGAATGCAATATGTAGTGAGAGGTGACATGATGTCAAGAAGTTTGTCCGAGTTGGCTTTTCTCGACTTTTTTTTAGCCTAATCAAAGTGGGCTTTTCTGTAACCCATCAAACCCAAAGCCAGATCATTAGGCCTTTAATACATTCTCAAGGGTATTCAAAGCAACACCACAAAAAAAAGAGAACATTAAGGGATGATTTTTGGGGACAACCTATCCATTGGCATACCCAATAATGTACTTTAAGTTACCTTGGGAACTATTCATTTTAATCACCCCCAAACTCGCTCAAAACTCTAATTGGGGATGTCTTATCTTTTTTAGTCTTTACATCTCTTAAAGGGCAAAAGCCTAAAAATAACTTCTTACCTTGATGAGTTGGACGGTTTTAGCCTCTCAACCTTATAATATAACGGTTTTAGTCCATAACCTATAAAAATGGAAGAAAATAGCCCTTATTTGTAACTTCCGTCTCACCATCCATCACTTCCGTCACTTCATCCATTATATTTTTGTTAACTTTGTCCTGCTTATATAATAAATAAAAAAATGGGAAAGCTTCTCCAATAAGCCTACTGCATTTTTTTTGGGAATTCAAACCTTTTTTTTTTTGTTGAGAATTCTAACATTTTTTTTACCTTTATTTTTAAATATGACTACACATGTATTAATTGTATATAATTTTTACATATTATTAAATAAATAGATATAATTAATATTATAGGTCTCAAATAAATATAAACAATAAATAAAATATATAAT